TCTATTAATAAGCTATTCAGATTGAGAAAGGGCTTTATTCCAGCGACTGCTTCTCACCTCCTCTCCGTCTCTGTCTCCCTCTCTCCGTCGCTTTCCCCTTTCCTCACTCCCTCGCTCGCTCAAATGATTGTCATGGAAATCATCAGAGGTGCCAAACCACAGACAAAAGAAAGAGCTTAAACACACACCTGAGCCAAAAAGAACAGAACAGTAGTCTAATTATGATGGGGACAATTAAGACTTTGCATATTTATTGACGGGGGACTTCACACAGGAACATATGCTCATGAATACCAAAAAATAAAAAAAAGAAGGCAGGGTGGGGTGGAGGGCTGGGTTGTTGAATCTGATGGTGTATGTTACTGTTAACGTGTTTTTAATGTAAGAAAAAATGTGCTATTTGAAAAAAGAAAAGAAAAAAAAACGAGTATGTTACTGTAGCCGTCTTTTAAGATTTCTGGAACACCTTTCCAAAGACGATAGAACCAAATCTTATTGGGGTGGGGGGGGGGGTGTAAGTCCTTTTCGTCAGCCAACATTTTTTATCCCCTCCCGTTGACAGCCACAGTCTCTTTTCAATGCTCCAAGAACAAGGAAGTCCAATCTGGGCTCTGCTCTGTATTCTGATCACACACCTCTTTCCCCCAGTAATACAACTCTACTTTAAAATTCATAACTACATTTGGAAAGAATAAAAGGGTGCCCTGATGGAATATTTCCAAGGAGCTTACTTGAGCGAAAATACCATTCGCTTTGGCATATTTAATAACGCTAACCTGGTCTTTAAGACATACAGCAGTAATAACAATTTTTTTTAAAAATACTGGTGACTGGAAAAAAAAAATCAAGCAATGCCTTAGCATAAAATGAGCAGCTATAATTCCTGCCTGTAGGAGAAAGATGAGAGAAAAAGTGAAAGAAAAAGAGGGGGGGTTTAAAGGGGACAAAAGATGGTGAGAAGCCTTGTCAAAGTTACACAGAATCAACTCAAGTCTCCTCTCATTTTCTGCTTTGCTTTTCCTCCCCTCTTCTGCCTGGGAGGCAGTTTGAATTGAATCAAACAACCCAGATTGATTAAGCTTGGATGAATGACTTTCCAATGACACAGGATTCAGCGGCGGCCCGGGCCCATCCCTCTGTACATATTTGACATGGTTATTGAAGAGTTGATGGGAGAGTGATTGCGCAGTTTGTTACTCCGGATTCCGTGCAAGGTTGAAATGTTATCTGTTGTGCTAAATGTTGTTGCCATTGTTCAGTTCCTTAGAAAGTGCTGTTTGATTCCTGTGGAATCCTGCTTTGATTCAAACGCCTTTCTGGAGGAACAGAAAAACCAACGCCAGAGAGAAGATAGATAACATTGCCATTTGAATTGGAATATGAATTGCTCTGCTTGAGTTTTTACATTAATCTCTTGTCCTCTTTCCTCTCTTTAGTCCTTCCTCTGCAAAAGGGGGGGCATGGGGGACTGGAGTTATGAAAACTGTGGAATGTCCTGTTTTGAATTTGGCCAGGACCAATCAAAGCTTAAATGTTTTCTGTCTCTTTTTCCTTGTGAATGCCACTAATTTCCTCGTGGCTCTTCTGGGTGGAGACACAGAGACCCCTATGGTCTGTTAGGGAACATAAAAGCCCGGCGCCACTCAGTTTTTCTTCCATGCCTAAATACTCTACTGCCACCTGCCTGTTATGTATAATGCAAACGATACATTCCGCTGTTGTATGTAACATGTACACATGGGATTGCAGTGTTTAATTGTTTATTCCGGGGGGTGTCAAACTCCAGTCCTCGAGGGCCGCTGCCCTGCAGGTTTTAGAGGTTTCCATGTTTCAACACACCTGATTCAGGTCATAACAAAGCTCAACAACGTCAGAGGAGATCCAATTTAATCAGAATCAGGTGTTCAAAAGCAAGAAAATGTCTAAAACCCCCCAGGTCAGCGACCCTCCAGGACCGGAGTTTGACGCCCCTGGTTTATTCAGACTTTTCGACATTAAAATGCACCGTATACAGGTGTTATTTACATAGTTTGACGGGCACAGATTTGAATAAATCAGTGATAAACAGGTGCATAATGGGAAAAAAATTGCTTCACTTAGTGTAGAGAATTGGCATACCTTGCCTATAAGACAGCGAAACAGCTTTAAAAAGTATTTGTTTTCTAGGCGCTGAATCACTGTGTTTAGCAACCGAAAGATGTTTCCGATCCAAAATGACATAGATAGCATTAACTAACAACAACTCTGTCATGCAGACTTACTCAAATGTGAACGGAATACAAATTTGCTGCCATCTCGGGGCTGAAGCTTGTTAAAAATGAACAGGGACAAAGTGTTGTGCTATTCTGTGGTTAAATATTCATTTTGTTTGGCCTTGAACTAAGCGGGACAGAGACTTTCAGCTTGTTATTTGTACTCATTTCTAAAGCTTGCGTCTTTGATATCCCCTCACAGATATTATTTTTTGTCAGCTCAAGAGGCCTTTATTAAAAGCAGTGATACATACTCTTTGAGGCGGCAACATACCAGTTGATTTTGGACTATGCTGTGAAACAAGCACTGGTACTTCTGGAACTGACCCTTTTCCTGTCTGTAAAGGCAACATCAGTACTTAAAGTTATGTAGAGCTTTCAGAGCACCATATGTTTCTATCCAAACAACATGTTTTTCAGGGAAAGCCTTGTGTATTTCCCCAAAAAACAACAGAAAACAGTAATAAACCTCATTCTGGTAATAGATGCAGTGTGCGGACGGGCGCTGGAGCCCAGATTATCTCACCAAGTGAGATAATTTGAAAAATCATGAAACACAAAATACCACATTCAGCTCTATCGAGAAGCTACAGTCCTATTTCAGAATAAAACCAGGGTGAATAGAACCAGCATGCTCTTTTATTTTCTGGTTATAGTTTATCTTTTCGGGACTTCTCTCTTTCAGGACTTCTCATGATTTTTTTTATTTTTTGTCCTGATAGATTGTTTGCTCTATCAATTATGGTGTTATTACCAGTATTACCTCATGGTTGCATCACTGTACTGCAGAACTGTAGTAATGCAGTAATAATAGTGTCAGACTTTGAATGTAAGGGAACGTATAAACAAAAACAAACTGAGGGAATTCTCAAGCAAGAAAACATCTTAAAAAGCTGAAAATATTATTGGCATTGAACAATATCACGTCAAGATAGAACCAAGAAAGTTGGGTAATGTTGCTGGCTCATGTCTACCTTTTAGCAAAACCGGTGGATACATTTCACCCAAAAGTCCTCACCGTTGATGGAAAAGCTACTTTTGCCACACTTATTTAGAGAGCTATGGTTTGTATGTGATCATATTTGCTTTTTAGGCTTAAAAAAAAAGAATGCAGTATGTTCTCTTCTTTCTTTAGCCTTTTCACTTACTAAAATCATTTCTCTCCCATATCCTCTCCCCCTTCATTTCCTTCTAAAGTGCTCTTCCATTTTTGTTAATCAAAATATATTCACACAATCTCCTCCTCTTCTGCAGCAGGATCTGAAAGGCTGATTGGCAATTTCAGCAGCAAAACCACAGTTCAGCGGAAAAAAAGAGATGGACGCAGCTAAACTGAGAGCTCCCTGCTGTTACCATAGTAACATCTCAACAAGAGTGGTAAGAGGAGAAAAAAAAAAAGGGAGGCAGGGAGAGAGAATATGATGTGAACACTCTATTCCGATTTTGTTATACAACTCGCGGGGTTGAAATGACTGGGCTTGTCTGCTTAAAAATTTGTTGTGCGCGCGCACACACGTGCAAATTTACATGCGTTGAAAAGCAGAAGCACACGGAAGGGACTGACACAGCATCTGCTCCTGGCTGATAACACCGCCTAATGGCAGTGAGAGCCCACAGCAGCACGCTCTCTGCTCCCTCCCTCACAATGGCCAGCAGCGGGCCTAACTGTTTCCATCACGCACCCTGCTGACTTAAGCAGCTCATCATCATCATCATCACTTTTGCTCATTTGTTGGATCTGAGCGGACTTAATAAAACTGTCAGACCACCGACCGGGAATGTTAAATAAAGACAGCAGATCCGATGCTCGATGGCCGCTCGGGAGACCGGCTCGTTAGGGTTAATGAGATATAGAACAAGCTGCTGGTATCTAAGTGCCTCAGATATCACTTAAAACTTTGATTTAGGCTCTTGATTTGGATGGATTCAAAACCTACAGAGAGGCCTCGGATGTGCCTCAAAGCGTGGGTTGTGCAGCCAAGGGAAAAAAGCCGGCACGCTCTCTTAAAGGTCTAATGTTTTATGGAGGTAAATAGTAGATGAATGTAGAGAAATTGAATTTTACTTCTGTTGCGGTTTTGCTGGTCTAACAGTATTTTGAGTTCAAATTGACCCACTTCATTGCACACCCGAGCATTTTTAGGTGTGGGTTTGACTCTTTCCTGTCTGAGCCTGTCTCCGGCGGATTTGCTGCACTATTTTGCATCAGTGTGCTGAGTTTTGAGCCAGTTTCAGCCAAGCTCAGAGAGATTTTTAAACATATGACTCTCGAATCCACTGGTATTCAGAGACGTTCATGGTCTGATGAATGATCGTAGCTGTAAAAAGGCCCAAATTATACTCCACTCTGCAGCACGGTGTTTGACCATTTTTAGGATTTCTTTTGTACAGATTTATTGCTTTATTTGAATTTTTATTCAAAGTATTCAAAGTTAACTTTTACATAAAGCGTAACATTTAACATAAAAGGCCTCGAGCTGCAGTCTGGAATGTTTATCACAGTTTCTGTGATCACAGCACGGTTTGATCTTAAGATCAAACTGTTGGAGCTTTGACTGGAAGATTTGACAACTGTCCCAAACGTTTTGCACTGGTGGCTAATTCCTGGTACTGTAGAACGACATTAATGTGTTATGTAATTGCTTTGAAACCCATCCCCTGAGCTGACAAGCCCCTGAATGCTTCCGACCAGCAGGAGTGAGGCGGCGGGAGAAGAAGGAAACACTAAAAGTTAACAAATTTTATTACACGTTTATTTACAAACAACCCTGCAAGGCACACCTTTGTTTAAATAAGAATATACATGACATTTTATTAGTGAAGAAAAACTGCTTTTATTTTATATATATATATATATGTATATATATATATATATATAGGTCTGTCAAGAGGTGGGAGAAAAAAAGACCCCAATCTGCAAAAGTTCAGTCAACACAACAAATAAGGAAGAAAATGATCACACGCTTTATGATGTAAACAACGTTTTTCAGGTGGTATTTGAAATTACATAATTAAATTGTGTATAGTTGGTCTGATAAAAGTATGTATCTGCTCTGCTTGTGGCACTCAGTCAGAAAACTGTAAATCATCCTTTATTAAAAAATAATAAGACGGTTCAGATTAAATGAAGCCAACCTGCCATATCGCTGACATCCACTACACTCCATCTTTTTTTTATTCAGAACCTTAAATCTAATTTATTGCTTACATTACAACACTTTTTTTTAAAAATCCCATTTTACAATATACTATTTTTCCCTTTGTTAGGTAACAGATTAAGAGAAATGCTAAAACGAGAAATAAAACAACAAAAAGGCTGTTTAGCTGCAAAGAAAAATATATGCATTTCATCTTAAAAAGCACGTTTCTTCTCACAGAAAATGTCTCAAAACGACGGCAGCTGAGCTGTCCACATAAACACCATTTCGTTACAGTCGTACACTGTTCAGCATTAACTATTGATCATGCAGTGATCGGCCACGTCATCCTGTCACTCCGCCGAAGCTGCTTTTATAGAAGTATTTGTCCAACATCAATCAGGACAGTTGGGAGAGAACTTTTGTTTTGTCTGCTGGCAGCGCAGAAAGCAGAGATTGAAAGATGAAAAGACGCTCCTGACAAAAGGCTTGCTGTGACACATGAAATATAACCAAACAATGGCTGAAAAAAAAAAAAAACACGTTTAGGATTTCAAGCTTGGAAACATTAAGATACAGCCTGTCATATTCACACAGTTCATCATCGAGAGCCATGACGAACTCAGAGAGGTTTGACAGGAGTCAGGCCCCTTGTGCGGCTACTGACTAGTGCCGTTTGTAGAGAAAGGAAAAAGAAAAAGATCTTTTTTACCTCACATCTATAAATTCAACAAATGTTCATCATTTTTTGCTGTTTGCGCTTCTTCCACAAGAAAAGATCTTGGGGTGCCTGACCAGAGATGATAAGCTTCACAGGCCTGCGGAGGCTGGAAACAAGGAGCTTGTCAGCATTATTTTCCAGGGCCTCATTGACAAGAGTCTTCAAAGGCTGTGGTTTGACTGAATATTCCTGTTGGGATGTTCTGGCAAGGCGGACTTCATCATGCCAGCAGGCCAAGTCGTTTGACCTTAGCAGACAGGAAAGAGTGGATGATGAAGACGAGGGTCTTCGGGCAGCAGTGGAGGTCCAGTTGCTGAGAGAAAGAAAAGAGGGAAGCCACGTTTCAACGTATGCATTTATACAATATACAATAGTTCAACGCTTTCACCTTGACATCATACCCCCACAACGACGTGGTGACTGTGTTTAGGACAAAACTGTGTGAGAAACTGTGTGTGGGTGTCAGAGCCTTGAGAAATAGAACGACAGCCATGTGTTGAAAGTAGATTGTGGTACGTTTGAGGGTCATCTAATACTGAGCTGCATTCAGTATTTTAGTAACTTGCAAACACATACAGTAAAGTCTCTCAAAACAAAACAAGAACATTTCTGTGTAAAACTATGCTGACTGTCGCTAATCACCCAATATAGAGAACTTTTAACTCTGCTTTCGTGAAATAGAATGGAACGTGTAGCTCACAATCTCAGCTTCGGGGCCTCCGAAGTCCAGGAAAATCATGCGGACGCCGTCGTCGGAGGACATGCGGAGGCGCTCGAACGGCTGCTGCAGGAGAACACTTTTCCTCACACCCATTTCTTCTGTGAATAGCGTGAAACCATCATCGATGTGCACTCCCAGGGTGCACTCCTTCCCATTCCAACTGCAGGCTGCAAGAAAAAGGGGTACTATTGTTAAACCACAAAAGCAAAATCCAAATCTCAGTCAAACCTGACATCAAAACAAACAAAAAGCATATTCGAAAGTCCATTTTCGGTGTCTCTGTAGGTTTGTGCACCGCCTCTGGCTGCCAGCAGAGGGCAGCACAACCCTGTTCAGCGCTGCTGTGTGTCTGAACTCATGAACGTCTGACCAGTGCATGGGTTTGTGTCAGCATGACACAAAAACAAGCTGCTCAGCACAGATTAAGAGCTGAAACCCAGAGAAACAATCTAGCTTGAATCAAATATGGCAACATTTTAAAAGTTTATCTCTAAACTCAATTGAAATCTTTAACAGATATAAGGAGAAATCTCAGGACTTCTTTTAAAAGAAAAGCAAGTTTTAAATAAGAACAGAACATCTTAATAATCCTTCGCAGGGGACAAGGTCTCTGTTTTAAATAAAAAAGTTTGTGCTTCTTAAACAGACTGTTGCTCAATAAGAATTTAAATGAAATGGACTTGCACAGCTGAGTCAAACTACAATGACGGCACGAGTTGGCCGCTTCAGTGGACTTAAGCCCACTCAAAGTCCATAGCTGTGACACTGTGGGCTATGTGAGGCGACCCTGAAGTTTTGTTGCGCCTAACTGCAAAGCAAATGTACTGCACGGACTTTGTCATGGTTTTTTAGGGAAAAATGGGTTCACATGATCCTTTGTGGTTCAGAATGGGCTGATGGTGCTACTAAAGTCTCTTTGTCATTTGAATTGGATGTCACTTACTTTAATTTCAGTTTTGTTATAATTCCTAAATGAAAGTGTATTTCTGACACATTCTGGAACAGCTGGTTCTTACTCTTAACTAACTGGGGAAGCCTTTGGTCCTCTGAGTAGGAATAAAAGGAGAAACCAGAGACACTGAGCCCCCTGGATCTCTGTACCTGCTGTGACCTCCTTGATGAGCTCAGCAGCGTTATGGCAACCGTCCACCAGCAGATGAGTCCAGGCGGAGAGCTCCTTGGCTGAATCCACCCGGAACACGTGAGTCTGCACGCCCTGCTGGGTGCCCGAGCGCAGGCCGAACGTCAGCTCCGACTCCAGGAGAGGAGAGCTTTTCCCTGGGCCGGAGTGGACCAGTCTACGGGGAGAAGGGAGACAGCATCACATGTCTGTGGCCGAGGAAGATGGTGATTATTAATAATTGCATAAAAGAACGCGGTCAGGGAAGAAACTGTTAAAAGTGGAAATTGAGGCGTGGAGTGCACAGGCGAAAACGAAAGGAGGGAAAACATGACTCATATGTTCTGCTACCGCTAATGTTTTCCAACTGAGTTTCATTTTATGACGCAAAATGTCCAATTGGGCCAGTGGTGGAAAGAGTGAGCATGAACTCTGGGCCCGAACCAACTGGTGAAGGGCTTTTCAGCTCAAAGCTCCAAATGGTGGAAAACAAATCTGTTCAGCTAATGTGAAATGATGTGAGCAAGTTTAAAAAAAAAAGTTTTTACATTGCACACAAAAATAAATGAGTGGGTGTATACACATGTCTGTGTATGAGAACCTGGTGGTGATGAGTGGGTGACTCTTGGTGGGGCTCATGAGGCTCTCTTTGCTTTCAGGCAAGGAGGGATACAGGAGGAGGTCCTTCTCTGTCAACACGGCCAGAACAGGCCTCTGTGGACCCTGAGGAACCTGCACAGAAGGACATTTGCAATAGATTCATCTCCAGCAAGATGGCTTACCAGTTCCCTATTCTGTGTGTATAATACAGATTATGTATGTTTTCGGAGAATATTCCCTAATGTCCTTATATCTGCTTGTTATAGAATGTGCATTGTGTATTGTTTGTATTGTATTTGCTCTTATAAGAAGGGTATGAGGGAAGCTACCAAACTACAGTGCACCATCTAATTATCCTCGAGACAGCCAGCGACCTACAACCAGGTCCAACAGAACCTGTATCCAGTTAAAAGAGCTAGACATCAGAGATCAGCAGAGAGTGATTTAAAATATTACTGAAGAACAGTTTTTTGTCATTGAAAATATAAACAGACACAGATCCAAGTATGATAGACTTATTTCAACGAGGAGCTTCTAAATAAGGCATCATTGGAGGCTTGAGGAAGTATTTTCAGATACAACCAAGGAATAAAAACTAAAAAATAATGCTGAAATAAGGAAAGAAACAGTAGTAAACCAAAGATGATGATTGACTTTTTTTTGTCTCGACTGTTTCTCCGATTTTGATCCCTGGCTCTGATTGTTGTGGCAGTCCAAAAACAAAGACCTCTCTGCACCGTTTGTGTGGAGGCCCTGAGCAAAACACAACAGCTATGGTGAAAACAACATCATAAACAATCACTTCTGATCAATTCTGAACATGTTGTCTTCAGTTTTCTTTTGCTTCATGAAAACTTGTTTTGCTTTTCCTCTCGAGACAAACCTGTACTCTATCTTTTTGTCCGAAATGTGGTGTCTAACATGTAGGAAGTTTAGAAAAAAGTGCAAAAATAAGTGAAATACTACATAAATGAGTAAACCAGAAAACCATCAAAAGACAAACACTAGAAGTAGAGCGGTACGGGGCCTTTCTGACACTATTACGGGCAGTATCCTTCCATACCTGCTCTGTAATCCAGCCCAGATGTTTGACCTCGGTGCCAGGCTGCATGCTCTTCATCTCCTCCTTCACTCGCGGCAAAAGGCTGGCAGCGCCGGCCTGAATGGCGTTGTACCAGGACTGAGCCATGGCCGGGTCTTTTGCCCGCAGGAACACAGAGTTCTTTCTGTTGGATGAGATGACCTCGAAATACCTGGCGAGGGAGACAGAGGGGAGGCACGAGGAAAATGGAAACGCAGTGCAGTTAGAAGGACAAAAGATAATGTCTGAGGGGTAAGGTGGGGAGTTATTACCAAAGAGCTTAAAAAGTATGTAAATGAATCAAAGGTGAGGTGAAATCTTTAGTGTTTAACGTGTAGTACCTGTGTTCTGTGTCTGGAGGGCACTGTTTCCGTGAAACCTGGCACATTTTCAGCGGGATGCTGCGAGGCTCTTTCACCTCAGCGGGGGAGAGATCAGAGCCCCTCTGCGGTGTGGAAGGGGGGGAGTCCCACGGGAGGGCTGCTCCAGGGGACCCGGAGCTTTTAAAGAAGGCAGACATCTCCTTGATGTACTTCACTGCAGAGGATCCAGAGAGGGAGAGTTGGCAGAAAGTCAGAAGACAGAGAAAAAGGACAACGATTTTAGTGAGAGTGGAACCTCTGAGTTTGGGGTTGAATGGAAAACAGGGATATTCAGGGACGGCTCCCAAAAAGTGCTGAAAACCATCTGTCAAAAAAAAACTGCCGGGCACAGATGTGTTCTCAGCCTGTGTGTGGAAAGATAAACAGGCCCAGAATAACGACTGGAAAGGGGAGTTTTATTAATTCTATCACCTTTTTGCTGTGTTCAGATGTGGTTGGAGGTGCGAGGACTGGGCATACGTTGAGCTCCAGGTGGTGTTTCTGTCTAAGGATTTTTCCTCTGCCACCTTCTCATAAGGCTGTGGCATGAAAACGAGCCCCTGGGTCACTCTAACACTTACAGGCAGTTCAAACGAACGTTCGGCTGAGGATCCCGGCAGGAAGCCGGGTCACTCAGGTAAAACACGACTGACAGAGGCCGAACACATCACAGAGAATCCTCCGACTGTGTGTTTGTGTTTTTATCATGCTGTTTGTCTTCCTCAGCTGTACAATCAATTGGCCTTTGAGGGTATTCAGTGATTTAATCCAGCCAATAAGATCGTTAGTCCAGAGTGCTGTTGAATCTTTAAACATGGTTCTCTACTTAGCTGAGAATAGTCAAAGTGACAGAAAGTGATCCAATGTGTTATTTTAAATGAAAGAGATTCAAAGTGTTTCAAATAAACCTGAAAACATTACATTTTACTTCCTTAAAGGGGCCGCTGAACAAACTGTGTGTACAAGTCCTTTAAGTGAGGTCCTACCACACAGCTGTGAACACACCTACACACACCACCACACATGGAAACACATGGCTTCAGCTCCAGTTCAGTAGACTGTGGTATGGGTTTAGCAAAAGTAGCCTCTGCTGGGGTAAAAATAGCCCAAAGGACATGGTAAGGCGGGAGGCTGGAGGCAGAGCTCTGGTTTCACTGGGGAAGTGTGAAGCGCTCTTCTTGCACAGTGCAAGCGGCGAGAAGCCAGAGGGCGAGCAGAAGAGTCACGGCACTGGACGGCAGCAGTAAGACGGGGGCTTCCTCCGGGCCCAGAATAGATCCCCTTGACAGCCGACCAGCCAGCCATAGTTATCTTGTTAAAACACCAGAATCGCTCCTTTTGTCTTATTACACATGAGTAACTTTTCCCAGATCTCGAACTGCAGTGGTGAGCACTGCTGCTACACAGCAAGAATGTTCCCGGAACAAATGCTTGCTGGTGCCTTTTTGTCTGGATGTTCCAAGTCTTCCCCTGGCTTCATCTTTTTTCTTTGGGTATTCCGCCACTCGCAGTCCAAAAGCATGCAATTTAGGTACGATGGCTAATCTAAAATGCCAACTAATCGGTGTGACCTGACACAGGGGTGTGTCTTTGAATTGACCGACAACCTGTCCCATGAACCACTGACGGTATGAAGCGGGAACAGAAAAGTAATGGATGTGTGCGTTATCTCACTAATTTATGAAAATATATATGTTAAGAAAGTTGGGACAGGGGTAACAGAAGGAGGAAACATTGCAGTGGCTCTAAAACTGAGCAGTCTGGACTGTGAATAATTGTATTCTTATTCAAATACACCACAACACAACACGACCGGGGGGGGTAAGTCAAATCTGCCAAGTAGGACTTGAGAACAGCCGTTGCAGCGTCAGACCAACAAGAAAAGGTAACTAACTTGTTGTCTTCCCCCTGTTGTACTGAAAATGAGTTGTGGAGAAGTATTCTGTGACCCTCAGCAAACCCGCCTGGGCAAAATTGAGAAGAAAAAAAAACATTCCATGTAAAACATGCTTTTTATCTGAGTTAAAGTAAGAAAAAACAGAAAAAGTTTGCATGTGGCATCAAAAATGTTGTATAAAGCCAGTTCAGTAAAACTCTATGGATGTAATTTATATAAAATCATCACTTACTTACAAACGTTTGCTTTGTTCTTTGCAACCCCCCTCGATGTAATTTTTTCAGAGAATATTTCTAGCTTCCTCAATCTATAGTTTTTCATATGAGTCTATACAGGATTTTTCTTAATTAGTTGCCCCATTTACACTAAAGCAAAAAAGAAGGGCTTAAGCCCCAAAAAAATGCATCCGTAGACAAACGCAGGCATTCTGGGAGCATGCAGCAAGCAGGGAGCAACCAATATGTACAAGCTTTGAAGTGGCTGTCAACTTGCATGCTTAATGTTCCATGGAAATGAGCTGCTGTCTATTTGTTCCCGTGCCAACACACTGAACACACTGATGTTTGTGCCCGGGGAAAGCCAACTGCTTCCTTGTTCCCGCACTCAGGCCATTCACAATTTATGTGGTCAATCTCAATATGGCAGGCAGCGCCGAAAAACTACGACGGGAAATGGGAGAGCTGACACTGCTGCCTCGAACAGAAACCATCGTTTTAGGTCCTTGATTCCTACATTTTGCCATGCTTCCCATGCAGATTTGATCTAAGCCTTTCTCCAAGCTCTTCACCACCAAAGATGAAGAGGTTACTCCACTGTTTTGTAACTTTGCCCAAAATGAAAGACCTTGGTTATCTATCATTTATCCAGTCGTTTCTACTAACCGAGTCAAATTGACGGGAGCTGGACTGAATGAACTCAATGTAATTTGGACAGAACACACCTGGAGGTGCGAACTGCATGAGATGGAAGAAGTTGTCTGTAGACTGTAAAGAGACAGCATTATCTCAAGGCACAGATCATGGGAAGGATATAAAAAAAACTTTTCTATGGCAGTAATCTCCATCACTTTAAATATCTGTGGTCTCTCTCAAACTCGGGGACTACAATCAGTGTGGTGAAGCACATGGATCCAGCCATTACAAACACAGTGAACGACTCTCCATCCAGCCTAACTGAGCTTAAACAATTCTACCCTAAAGAAAGAGACAGATCTCAGATGACAAAGTATGCCAAACTTGTAAAACCATTCTTATGAATACTTACTTCCCTTATTCCCAAATGAGCTATGCTGTATCAAACTTTTAGTGGATAGACTAAAACTTTCCCGGCCTGTGCTGCATATAAAGGGCCGGTAAAACAACGCATTACCATCACCGAGAGAGTCCAACATGATGGAGGATAGAGAATGCACATGATGTTATCAGATATCAGACTGAGTCCAGGTTCCGCCTGGTTAAACCAATTGAATGTCAGGAAGACATCTGGCTCAATTGCAGCAGACTGTTTGACCAGCTGGAAAATACACGTAAAATCAACTGTTGTGGTGCAATGAACACACTCAGAATGTTTTTTTTATTGTTTTTTTTTTTTGGGGTATTACAAAACTCGGAGAAGTCAAGACAAAAGAGCCAAATGGATTTCTGCCACTAGCAAAGATAGAAGGAGTCCTGGCTGAGAGCCGGCAATCTGCAGTGGATACTTTGTGTATTTCGCCAGCCTGAGATCAGGATGTTGGGAACAAGGTATCGAAAATCAACAGTGTCTCAATCTGCTCAGTATGTTTTTTTTGTTTTGTTTTGTCCCTGGAAACGCCCCTGTGTTAATCTGGACCATTAACGAGAGCTTTGGAAGTGTGCTGAGTTTTTGTGTCATCAGTCAGGAAACACGGTGCGTGTTTGCGCTGCTGGTGCTGTCCAGCCAACAACGGCGTTTTCCTAACCCGAAGCACTCAATTATTCACATGTGTTTTCTCAGGCGGCGGCGCCTTGGGCTCTCTTAGCTGCTGTAATCGCTGGCAGTGTGGTGCAGTCAAATAAATAAATAGAGGCACTAATCTAATGGCCATCTGACAGTCTGGTTCATGCAATTAAAGCTACAATTTTAAGCTTAAAACTTCCCTTTAGAACTTTAAAGGGAGACAGTCAGAGGAGAGAGCTCAGACTTCCTCAGGAGCAGCTCATAAACAGGCCAGTGTTTAAGACTAACTGTATGCCTTTTTCTTGTTGCAAAAAACACAACAGGTGAGAAAAAATACAGGAGTCATATGTATAATGGCTATTCCAAAGGACTACAGATGTGTATAATTCTCTTAAGGGGCTAGGCCATTTGGAGAAAAGGCTTCAAAGATTAGAAAATGGCAGGTGTCATGCAGCCACAAATAGGACCAGATAGCTTTCAAACGCAGTGGGAGACAGAATGAACCTGGAAAAAACAGCGAGATAAGGAGAAAAAGGAGACTGAGAGAAAGAAAGTAAATGTGAGGGAGTGAGACGGGCAATGCAGAAGCACAGAATATACAGCTAAGCTCAGCCAGAAATGTTGCCATGAATACCAGTGGCGGCACATTCAATACAGAGCTAAAATTAGCTGAGATGGCACTGTTATTACTTTAGCTTATCTCAGCCAGAGAAACTACTTTAATGTGTGTGAGCGCACGACCGGGTCGCTCTGCCTCTTCTGCGGGATATGCCACTAAGCTTCCCCTGCAGAGGTCTTTTACTCTTACACTGAACTCACAAATCCTGACCACACACTTTCAGCCTTCGGCACAATTCACTGAACTGTAGTTTGAAATGTAGATGTTTGTTATCTCTATAACATAACTGACACAGGGTTAGGGTTAGCCATTTGAGGGAATTTGACTGATAACCTGACATCCGCCAGTCACCACAAAAGAATAAAAAGTCTAATAATCCTGTAGGTACATTTTCTTCTTTCTCATTTAATCTCTGAATCACCGTGTGTCCAGTCTGAGAACGTGGAAGAGATGGAACAGAAAGTCTTTCTGTCTGCACAGCTGGTTCCCGTAGGAGTCGCTGGAATGTCACAGGCCAGCCAGCGACCTCAGAAACATGCTGCTGTGTCAGGCCAACAATGTTCAACACTTTTTTAAACTGAGGTCAATCAAGGCAAAGGGGGGACCAAAAATTAAGTCTTCAAACCATAAATATGATGTAGAATTTTATTTTAACAGATGCTGACTGCATTAAAAAGGATGGATATCAGCACAATTACAGTTATATATATGTATAGATACACAGAGAATAAAATGGGTTTATTATAGTAATGA